ATAGTGATCACATGATAACATGTAAGCAAAACTGTCATGAATGGGAATAATTCATGACAGCTTACTTATTATTGTGATGCTGTGATTGGCTTACAGCTATCACATGGTACCTGGACCAATTGCAGCACCACAATAGTAAACCATGAGTCATGAAATTAAAGCCATTCATGACAGTTCAAAGATTGCTGTTACAGTGCTTATCACTGAAACAAGCAATCGCAAAAATCCCTGATCAACCCCCAAAGTAGTACAGTGTCTCTGAACTACTCAGATGACAGTATGTAAAATAAATTGTAAAAAAAAAAAAAAAAAAAAATGTAAAAAAGAAAAAAAAGTTTTAAAAAATTGAATAAAAAATTATTTCCATTTTTTTTAAACATACACAGTGTCCCTGATCACCACCACACCATATGATGACGCTGTACTGCACTGGTGACAGTGGGCAGAATTCACTAAGCGATATCTTGCCGTATCCGAGTATGCAGTAGGATACCGCACAGCATTTAAAAAAAAAAAGTTTGAATTCACTAAAAAAAACGCTACTAAACTATCACATGAGTTATTTTATCAACTCATGCAGTATTTTAGTAGTGAAAACCATGCGGTAATGTTGCAGCTGTCAGCGGGGTTCCTCACTGGCAGCTGAGCTGAATGTAAAAGAAAGAATTGCCGGCAATTAAAAAATAATTTATAAAATGGCGGGCCCCCCCCCCCCTCGTGGGCCCCACCCCCCTCCCATCCATACCAAGCCCTTTCAATCTGGTATGGATTGAAGGGAACCCCCACGCCAAAGTTTTTAAAAAAATGACGTAGGGGTCCCTGTGAAATCCATACCAAACCCTTATCCGAGCATGCAGCCCGGCAGGTCACAAAATGGGGGGGACGAGCGAGCAACCCCCCTCCTGAACTATACCAGGCCACATGCCCTCAACATGGGGGGGTGCTTTGGGGCAGGGGGATTCACCCCCAAATCACTTTGCCCCCATTTTGATGGGGACAAAGATCCTCTTCCCCACAACCCTGGCCGGTGGTAGAGGGGGTCTGTGGGCAGGGGACTTATCGGAATCTGGAAGCCCCCTTTAACAAGGGGTCCCCCAGATCCCTGCTCCCCCTATGTGAATGAGTATGCGGTACATGGTACCACTACCCATTGACAGAAAAAAACCTGTAGTGTGAAAAAAGACAGGAGACAGGCTTTGACAAGTCCTTTATTAAAAGAAGGCGGGACATTCTTTTATTTTCCTTCTTTTAATAAAGGACTTGTCAAAGCCTGTTTCCTGTCTTTTTTCACACTACAGTTTTTTTTTTTTGTGAATGGGTAGTGGTACAATGTATCCCACACTCATTCACATGGGGGGTGGGATCTGGGGGCCCCCTTGCTAAAGAGACTTCCAGATTCTGATAAGGCCCCCGCTTGCAGACCCCCACAACCACAGCCCAGGTTTGTGGGAAAGAGGGCCTTGTCCCCATAAACATGGGGACAAGGTGCTTTGGGGGGTGCCCCCCAAAGCAGCCCCCCATGTTGAGGGCATGTGGCCTGGTATGGTTCAGGAGGGTGGGGGGGGGGCGCGCTCACTCATCCTCCCCCTTTCCTGACCTGCTGGGCTGCATGCTCGGATAAGGGTCTGGTATGGATTTTGGGGGGGACCCCACGCCATTTTTAAATTTTTGCATGGGGGTTCGCCTCAAAATCCAAGCCAGACCCGAAGGGCTTGGTATGGATGGGGGGGACACATTGTTTTTTAAATTATTTGTTCATTTTGTTTTAGTTTTTTAAACATTCAGCTGTCAGTGGGGAACCCAGCTGACAGCTGATCACTCATAGGTTGTTAGGCACTCGGCAGCTACCCACTCCTTAACAACTCATGACAGTACTGACAGATAACAGTACATACCGCAAGCCTGGACCACTACTTAATTACTGCATGCATTTAATTATTTATTTTCTTTTGTGAATTGACTTTAAGGTCTTTTTATATGGTATTTACCGAGTGTTTTTGCTTTTTTTGGTAAATACTGCATACTAGCAATAGTGAATTGACATTTTCAGTATCGCATACGATGTGTTGTCATGTGACTAACTTAACTCATGCGATAAGCTTTAGTGAATTGTGCCCAGTATGTGAAAAAAATGTATTTAATTTCTTTACTTTCAAAAAAATTGTGCAAAAGAATTACAACTTCAAAAGAGGCGGTTGGGGGGGGGCTATTTGTACTGTTCTGGCATTTTAGGGCTTCAAGAAATTAGATAGGTTGTCAGTACATCAGGATTGATCAACTTTCAAATGAACTATATATCATAGTTTGTAGGCTCTATAACTTTCACACAGACTAAATAATTTACACTGATTTTTTACCAAAGAAATGTGGCAGATTACATTTTGGCCTAAATTCATGAAGAAAGATTATTGGTTTGCAATCTTTTACAACAGAAACTAAGAAAAACAAGTTTTTTTCTCAACATTTTCAGTATTTTTTCTTTTATATAACAAAGAAAAATTAAAAACCCAGTGATGATTAAATACCCCCAAAAGCAAGCTTTATTTGTGTAAAAACATATTATATAAATTTAATTTGGGTACAGTGTTCCATGACCATGCAACTGCCAGTTAAAGTAGTGCAGTGCTGAATAGCAAATATATGCCCTGATCATGAAGGGGGTGTAGCACTACCCGCTGAGGGCCGCTGTGTTTCTAGGTACCCCTAAACTCTGTACAGCCAGGCAACATGCATTTTCCACACTTGCACCCACAGTCAGTGAATAGTCCTTAATTTTTTTTTTGTTATTTTAATAGTGGAAAATAACTTCATGATTATGGGAGTAGTAAGACCAACCCATAAATATGGGATAGCCAGGCTGGCAGTGAGTCGGTAGAAAATGAAGTGCTGAGAAGACTATCGGTGGCCCGGGAGGGGTTCCCCATGTCTAGGGGGGGCTGGCCTCCAGGCTGAGCTTGTGCTGGCTCAGGAGGGTCCATTCAGCAGTACGACATGAATAGGATCAAGGCCTGGGAGCAGTGTAATAGGGATTATGGGATGCTCACTTTAACTAAATCAATGCAAAGGGTCAACTTCCCTCCTATATACAGAAAAAGATCCTGGACTGTTCTTTTCCTTAAAAAGCCATCAGTCTTTCCTTACGGGCAAGGAACTCACAGCCCCTCTGACATTATTTTTGGCTCAAATTGCACCGCACCTGTACCAAAAAGGTGCAGGGCCCTGTTTTGGGTCCGCACTAGAATCGGATCACATGGGTATTCACACTTATGCAAACCGATTCTGCGCATCGCACCGTGTTTTGCGGACCGATTTCAGCCCCTCTGCATGTATTTTGCAAGAATCTAAGTTGATTTCAGAGAGGTCTCCTCTCTCCTGTAGAACTGCTCCCAGCTCCACTGCCTGCAGACACTACTATCCCTCCTGGCTGCTCAGAAGATCTTCCAGGACAAGGATAAAAGATTAAGCACAGCACTGTCCTTTGTAAGCTTGCTACATGTGGCAGTCTCTCCCCCTGTAAATCCCAGGGTGTTCTGACAAACTCACTATGTCCTCCTTGCTCCCACTGCTCCCAGGCCTTGATCCTATTCATGTTGTACTGCTGAATGGACCCTCCTGAGCCAGCCCAAGCTCAGCCTGGAGGCTAGCCCCCCCCCTAGATCTGGGGAACCCCCTCCCAGGCCACCGATAGTCTTCTCAGCACTCCATCTTCCACCAACTCACTGCCAGCATGGCTATCCCATATTTATGGGTTGGTCTTACTACTCTGCTAGGGCCTACAAGCCTGGGATTGGTTGGACTCCCATAATCATAAAGATTAGGTATTCAGTCCTTCCACCTGCTGGCTTTTGAAATGTTCTATGGTCCTCCAGAGCAGTAGAGTGAAAGCAGTAGAGTCCCAACCTGTTAAGCTTGATATGCAGTAACACGACCTCAATCACAGACTCACACAGTTACCATGAGTCATGCACAATACATTACTTTTGTGTGAAATCCCTGGTGTTCCTCAGCTTTCCTATTAAAAACTGACCACATTACCATGGTTAGTTCTCTGGCTGTGCTTGGAGCTAATCCAATGATCAGGCTTGTGCTGACAAACCCCCCCCCCCCCCCCCCAGCACACCCCATTCACTGACAAGATCCTTGTGCTGCTGCTTCTCCTCCCCTAGCTGTGTGAGCTCCTAATGTGGCTGAGAACTAAAGGAATGTGATCACCTATAAAAGAGAGGAAAATAAGGCATCTATAATGTTTTTTTATATGTATACACAAATGTTTAGTCTTTCATTTCTATTTTAAACAGAATGGGTTGTTTTACAAGGTGAGGTTTTACATATTCTTTAAAGAACAAGGCCTCATTCACACGGTTGTACCAATGCATACACCAGTGCGAAGGGCTATCCTCAGCTGCCCAGGATGCATGAGTGTGTAGAACTTAGTCTGTCTACATCCTGATCCATGCATCAGACCAACACGAATGTACACTCTGGGGTGCGCTTGGAGATCGATGCATTCGGACATCTCTCATTGACTTTAGTAGGCTGCCTACATGCCCCTGCATGGAACAACTATGCATCACAGCAGCTGAAGACAATCTTTTGTATGGCCATATGGATCAATATGTATATATGAATAAGGCCTAATGGATGTAATTGTATCTCCCTTGATGAAAAACTGATTTAGATGTCTTAGAATAAACAACATTCCATTTTTTATATACTACCTGGTGTCTGATGTATACATAGTAAAGACATCACTAAAACAGAAGACAGTACATGAAAATCATTTTGTGTATGGTCAGCAATTGACAGCATAAAAAAAAAAATTGACCAAGGTAGTTGGAATGAATTGCAACTTTATTAGGAGCTATAAAATAGCAGTGTGCTTTCAGACAAGTGTAATAGGTGGATCAGGGCCAGTTGCAGCAGTTGCAGCTTGCCTGAAACACCAGACCAGGTGCACACTGCAGGGAATATGTCATTCCAGCGGCACATATGTAGAATTTGTTAGTGTTTACTGGATTTTCATGCAGTCCATCGGTTTTCCCTGCACAAAAGTTAGGATCAACATCACCAGTTGGAGGTGGATCGGTGACTGGAGGTGCAGGTGTTGTACCTCCTGATGGGGTTGTAGGAGGAGTTCCAGTAGTAGTTGTAGTAGTAGTGGTAGAAGTGGTTGTTGGAATTCAACTATGCCTGAACATATTTCACCAGGGCAGTTTACAGTGGAGCCTAAAAAAAAATACATTAATAAGAATTTTATAATTGCACTTTTCCTAGCTCTTTATAAGGCATGTATAATGAAGAGGTACATACAAAACAGAGCAAGTTAAGTAAATGAACTCTGCATACTATGACAAACATCTTAGGCTAGGTTCGCACAGTACATCACGTGATTCGCACATTTTCTATGGCTCAAATCGCACCGCACCTGCACCAAAAAGGTGCAGGACCCTTTTTTGGGTCAGTACTAGAATCGGATCGTATGGGTATTCACACCTATGCGATCTGATTCTGCACATCGCACCCTGTTTTGCGGACCGATTTCAGGGTGTTGTTATCGTAACATACACACCCACATCGATTCGCATGAATGGGGTGCAATTCTGATGCGGTGCGGAATTCGCACAGAAAACGCTACGAATTCCTCACCTTATCAGTGTGAACCTAGGCTTAACTTCATATGAGGAAATGGAGGCATTAAAATAGGCAAGGAAAAAAAAATACAGCTAACAAAAATGTGGCACATATCAGAAAACATGTCTTCTGCACCTCCTTGAGTTGTTCGCAATGCTAATAAAAAAGTCTGACATTTTAAATTAACATCTAAAATCAGGCTGAAAAATGAAGTAGTTGTTTCCATTAAAACTGGGAATGTCTTTCTAACTGGAATTTCGCAGAATGTGTTCCACAAAACATACTTAAAGGGAATGTATACTGGTTTTAGTACACATTTGGGTTTTTTTGTAACACAAAAAAAAAAAATTAAACAAAAGTTTTAAAAACTGTTTATTTCTTTTCTCTAGGCAGACTTATTGGAAATAATGCATACTACTATTATGAAGTCTTCTATCCTTAGGTTTCTGTCAAAAAATTGAACTAAAAAGCGAGCTGTTTTGTGTTGTTACTTTCAACTCTGTCCTTTTTTTTCATGCTTTAAAAATGCATTTGTAAAACAAAGATCGTACATACAGTAGATAGCAAACAATACATATAAAACAATAGTCTAAAAATGCCTCTAAAATTACATTGAGAAAAAAATTATAGTTTTTCTTTAAAATGAATATACCATGAACATATGACACATGAAATATACAGCTAATATAAATCCCTAAAACCAAGTACCAAATGGTGCCTGTACTTACTTTTGAGTTGGCCATAGATGAGTAGTTTATTTCTATCAGCCAGAAGGCTGAATTAAACAAATAAAAAAAGGACCAATCCCTCCATCCACACAAAGGAGGTGGATGGAAGAATCCCTTTTGCCAGCACATTACATTCAGACAGCAGAATTCGTTGTTAGAATACACTGACATTGGCTGCAGCTGCTGATCGACAAAGTTTTCCAACTTGTCTGTTTAACAGAATTTGATCTAATGATCACCTTCTGTTGAACAGGGATTGCCACATACTGATCGATATTCACGATATTCATCTGGTCCCTGCTGAACTGGACAAATTTTGATTAATCTATGGCCAGCTTTAGTTCTTTCCAAAGCACATCCTCTGCGCCTGAGAAACTATGCACTCTTACTGTATGTAATTCTCATCCTCAACTCCATGTCTGACATGCCCCTCTACTCCCAGGCTATCTCAGTAGCCAATAGGGTGGTCACACTATGAGATAAATGATACAGAGGGTCCTGGTTCACACTGATGCGATGCGGGAAACAAAGAGAATCCTGTGCATTTCCCGCACCACATTGCAATCATGCGGTGTTCGTGCAATCTGCTGCAGGTGTCAATGTTAAATTAACGACACTCCGAAACAGATCACAAAATACTGTGCGATTGCCAGAGATTGGATTGTTCACACTCGCGATTTAATTCAGGTCATACAACATTGCATGTGATGTGCACAGGAATGCTGTGCGATTCACATGTGATGTCCTGCACTGCACAAGTGAGAACCTAGTCTAAAGGTGTGTGATAAACAAAATATAACCTTTTTTATGTATATTCTGTTGTTTGCTTTAATTTGTCTCTTCTTTATATGTTAAATTGGTTGAGTAAAGAATCTTACAGGCATTGTATAACCTAATCCTCTATTAAAATGTCCACACAAAACAACACACAGCTATACCGTATATTGAACATCATTATACAATAATTGAAAATGTAATTACAAGTCAATATGTCATACCTTCCAGCAATGATTTAAGCTTGTTAATTAAAGGATATTTTCCCTCATTGCAGAAAGTCCCCAGGAAATCATCTAAATCTATAGCCCAAACCATGGCACCACCAAATCCACCATCCTTCACAAATCTTACCTAGGAAGCAAAGATTAGATTATTAGATGACAATGTTTCATCCTTTAACAGTTAAATATATGCTAAGAAGCCAATGCCTTTAGGGTAAAAGTGTAGAAGAACAACATTTCAGTGCCTTTGAACTACAATCCCAGCTTCATTCAGCTCTTTTCCATTAACAGCATACGGAAGAATGCACTAGATTATGTTCCTTTACAACCTATAGACTTCCAGGACAGTCGAGTAATGGAAAGAGAAGTGGGTACCTCTGCCTGGTTATCATTCAGTGGATTCAAGTCCCATCTGTGTTCCTCTGCTGGACTTGATAACAGTGTCTAGGGCCCTCGTGTTTCTTGTAGATCTAATCTCTAACTGGATAACATGCCTCTTTAAAAATACTGTTTATTGTTTCTTTTTTTTGGTTGATATGATTGGGGGGGGGACATGATTAAAACCTTTAAATGCATCAAAGGGTGAATAAGGTTCAAGAGGACAGCATTTTTAATATGAACCCAAGATCAAAAACATGGGGCGTTGACCTCAAACTAACTGGAGGAAAACTCAAAACTAATCTTAGAAGGTATTATTTTACTTAAAGAGTAGTTGATGCTTGGCATAGACTTCCAGAAAGCAGAGATAGTGAGTCAGTCAACAGTAAGTGGCTTCAAACATGCTTGGGACAAACAAAGATCTATACTCAGAAAAAAAAAGTTTACATAAAAAAAAGTACAAAAACGTATAAAAAAAAATGGGCAGACTCAAGGACCACTAGGTCTTAGAATCTCCTGAAATTTGCCAAAACACCGCAGGTGTATATTTTGCACATTGTTTGCTAAAGAAGACTGTTGTGTTTTAAAATATAACAGCTTTTTTTTTTAATTACAATTTACTGAGGTTGTATGTATATATTAAAGTTACAACCCAAAATGCTCCCAGTTCATTTTGGGGCAAGATCCCCTGCTTATTTGGCATAATTTCTATATAGAATTTATATAACTGAGGGAGGTGGGGACAGGAAATTTGCACAAGGTGCAGTAGGCTACTTATATAAACTTTAAATAATAAAATAAGTTGAAGGATCTGGTAAGGAATGTTAGGGACCTCTATTACATTTCATTTTGGAAGAGAACATATTTAACATTTTATTCTACTTTAATTCATTTATTTTACTTACAAATTCAGAAAATGTGGAGAGCCTGAATTTGCATTAAAATTAACATTTGTGGAATAATAGAGAACAGGTAATGGGATCCAAATGACTGTAGATAAACTTTGTGTGGTTTTACAGTGAAAACCTTTTCAAAAAATGTTATATGTAGAATTGCAAAGGGATTATTATTTCTTCAATGCATGAAATAAAATTTACACTATTGTTTAAAGTGAACCTTTCAAGAAAAAAGCAAGAAAGCAAAAATCTGTGGTGGGGGGAAGTTAGTAAATATACAGTACTTACTTTATCTAAAGGTTCTGCCTACAATGCTTAGGTGAAGGTGACGTCACTATTCTTCCAGGTGAAATCCCAGATCTTGGGAGATGATGTTCTAACACAGATTTGGGCAACTTGACATTCTCCAGGATCTCATTGGAAAGATACAATAGTGACCTCAGCCTCACCTATTTAATGCTAAAGTGAGGTAAGTATTTTTACTAACTTTTTTCCCGCAGGCTTTTATTCTACAGCATTTTGGTATGGGGATGAGGCTTTGGTAAATAAGTGGACCGAGCTCTGGAGTGCAAACATACATCAACATGTCTTAAATTTCTAAGTAACATCCGAATCCAACATCTGAAATGTATAATATAACACATGCTTCTAATGCATGGGGCTAGAAGAGAAAGGGTCATCTGCTTAGGAGATGTTATGGATGTTATAGATAATCTTGTGGCAGATTGGCATTATTGTTTTCAGTACATACAGTAACTAAGAGTCTGCTTCTGTAGTCAGAGGATGATTATTGAAGTTGCTACCAGAATTCTTGGGAAAAGAATCTACTAATCTTTCAGATAAAAATGTATTTTCAACTTTAGCAATGTCCCCATAAAAGGTGGATGCAGCTAAAACTGGATTATTACCAGTTACAATGCAAATCTAACTAGTGGAATTTGGAAATGTGGCTTTAAATAGTAACATGTCAACAATTTAACTCCAAGCATTGATTTATTTTTCCTTTTTATTCTATAGTAATGCTTAGTGTCTTCTAATTGTACATTAAACGGGGGCACAAGTGCTGTCCATCAATTGACTTTATATTAGGTGCTAACAAGCTCACAGCTGCAGCAAACTTAGGTCAAGATAGTGATCTTTTCACTTTGATGAGACTCTCAGAGTGTAGCAACTACCATCTTTTTATTCTATAGGGCCTCTGTTTTCAGAAAATATACATTGTTTTGGGAGTTTTCAGTAATTTTGTAACCAAAAATACAAATTTTAACATGTGTGAGAAAAATTGGAGTAGTGAAGTTGTTAAACATAGGGAAATGGTGTTTGTGGTTCCAAGGTGACCCCCTGGGAGATAACAATTTCAGCCCACCCTTGAAAAAAAAATATTTCATATTCCTTGTAAATAAACTCTGTCTTACTTTGCATTCATAACTATCTTTATTGTCAAATCCAACCCATTCATTATCTTTACAAGCATATGGTACTCTCTGGTCTGGAATCCATTTCACCGTGGTCCCCTTAAGCCATGTGCAGATCTAGAAGAATATATAAAAATGTGTTAGTTATATAGTGAGTCAGGTTAAAAAAAAGACACATCCATCGTGTTCAAACAGAAGACTAAAATAAAAAAAAAATAGAAACCTGAATCCTTGGAACCCTAAACACATTGTTGAGAAATAAATCCCTCTTGATTCCTAAACATAATCAGATACTCCCTGGATCGACAAATTAAGTGTACTACTTTAACTACTTTATAATATTAATGAGGAACTTTCCTCTGGAAAAAAAAAAACTGTAGCTACTGACTTTTAATAACTTACCAGTCCAGGGATCAAGTGCTGTTTTCACCCAAGTCAGTCATCAGATCCCCAGCACCACGATCTTGGATGTGGGAAACCAGCTGTGTCTTCCTGGTGCCAGCCAGCTCCCCACTGCGCATGCACGAGACACATTGCACTCTCAATGGTCCCATGCACGAGACACATTGCACTTCTCAATGGTCCCACAGTCTCCTGGGAGTACCAGGAGGTTGTGGGCAGGGAGGTGAGAGTAAACTTCTTCTTACTAGAAGTGGAAGCAGGTACCTCCCAAGAAACTGGGTACCTGCTCCCAGGAAAAAAAAACATCCAAAATTGGAAAAGGAGAGGGGAGGAGGAGAAAAGGCGGAACTTCCCTTTTCAGGTGAAGTTCCATTTTAAAACCAGTTATGTTTTGCGCATTTAGAATCTATACAGCCTTTTTTAAACAATCTACAGAGTTGGTTAGAACTAGCTCCTGTGGAAGCCTATTTCACATTTTCAAAGTTCTTACTGTAAAGAAACCCTTCTTTATGTGGAGGTATAAGCTCTCTTTCTCCAGGTGCATAGAGTGCCCTCTTTCCATTTGCAATGACGCTGAAGTTGAAAACTTTGTACCAAGTTACTATATGAACCATTTATGTATTTATACATGGTAATAATTGCCCCCCACCACCACCACACACCCAAATTTATCAACATTAGGACACTTTTTGTCATATCAGTGCATCCAGTTCAACTTATAAGTTAAAAAATTATTGTAGGTATTTTGTTTCACTACATATTTTTGTGTCATCTGCAAACACAGAAATTGTATTTTAGCATTTATGAACAGTTTAAAAAGAAACACACCCCTGACATTCCCCCAGTTATGCTGATCACACGAATATGCAGAAAACGATTGGGTAAATCCACAAGTCCTATTTTCCAAATCAATTCTTCATATTGACTGGTCAAAACAACAAATATACAAAGTACAGTAGTACAGTACAAATATACAGTAGTATATTAGTTTAAATAATACAATGTTTAACAAGTTCTTTACCTGTAGACCACAAAAGAGGGACAAATGAGAAGAAAAGATGGACAAAGGGGTTTAATTTGAAAGGATGGGTAGTTCCTCGAAAAGAGAGACAGTTGGGAACTATGCCTTAATGCACACATTGTAAATCTGGGGAAAGTTGTGGTAAAACAAAGTCCATGTACACCAGACATGTCAAACTCAATTTCATTGTGGGCCGCCTCAGCATTATGGTTGCCCTCAAAGGGTCGGTTGTATCTGTAAGACTATGTATGCACAGTTCAGAAGTGCTGAGTACAGAGTACAGTTCAGGAGTATGCGGCGTGCAGAGTGCAGAGTTCAGGTGTGCGTTACGTACAGAGTACAGGGTTTAGGGGTGTGCTATGTACAGAGTTCAGGGTTCAGGAGTACACTACATGCAGAATTCAGCTGTCTTTCACAGATTGGCCACATCTTACTTCCACCATTCCTCCTCAGCTCTGGCCTCTGCATGAGTCTACCCTGTTCCTCAACTCTGCAACACCTCCCTCCAGAGCCCTTATCCCCCTACCCATCACAAAAGCTTCCTCACATCTCACCTAGCAGTGTAGGCGGCTCTGTCTCGTTCTCTCACTTGCAGAAAGAACATTGTTCGGTATCTGTCCTCGCCGTGCCCAGCGGTGAGTGTGTGCAGGGCAGGCAGGGATCTGTCGGAGCCGCGAGTAGCTGAGAGGAAAGGTGTCCTTGTAAACACAAAAGGCTTCTGTGTTTACAAATGACTGTGGTGAGCAGGGATTGCAGGGTGAGAGCTGGAGGTGGCGGAACTGAGTTCCACCACATTCTGGCTAGAAAAAAAGTCCTGGGTGTGAGGGCCACATGAAATGGCCTGGTGGGCCGCATTCAGCCCAAGGGCCTTGTGTTTGACACATGTAATGTCAGGGCTGTCTTAATAGCATCATGGGCTCCTGGGCAAAGTAATGCACTGGGGCCCCTACTAGCCTACCCAAATGTACGCACCTACTCTGGTAAATAAATTTATTAAAGTATAAATAGTTAATAGAATTAAACATATACTTATTTTCACTTGCAATAAAATCAGTTTTAAACAATAAGAAAACATGCCATAAATCAGACTAATCAACACAAAGGTCACAGTACAGGGAGGAGGCAGAAGGGCACAGTACAATGAGGGGAGATCAGGAGGGCACAGAACAGATTCCGGGACATGGCCATCCCAGGACAGTTTGGTTAAAAAACATGACTGTCCCAGCAAATCCGGGACAGTTGGCAAGTATAATGTAATGCAAAATTATCATTGGGCCCCCAATGCACTTGGCAGTACCCAGGGGTGCCCATTCATTAAAACAGCCCCGTGTGATGTACACTATATTCATGGCCATATGGACACATTCTTTGTCCAAATATTTGCTAGCTGTCATAAAAAGACAGTAGATTAGTTTAACAACACCTCTTTTTCATGAATCTATGCTGATGACAAAGCAAGAAAAACTAACCACAAAAAGAAAACGTTACTTCTGCCTTCCACTAAAAGAAAACTAACCACAAAAAGAAAACATTTAGTTCTGCCTTCTGCCAAAACTGTTGTTCCAAAATGGCTGTAGTTACGTAATGTATTAGGTAGCTTAAGCTGTACAGTAAATTATTAGTCACTTAGGGTGGTCATAATGCATATTTAACAGGGAGGGCAGGAATGACAGTAATAGAAAGCAAGCTCAAAAAATGTCTTCTTCATGCAGTTTTTATAATACTGTACTATAGCAGAACGTTGCCAGCATTAGCAATGTAGCAAAATACTTGCACTGTTACTTATTGACAATAAACAAACTTTAAGAATGCACAAACTCACAAACCCCCTACATTAGGCATGCTCAACCCAAAGCCCGTGGAGCCATCTGATGTAGCCATCCACACGGCCTCTTTCAGGAGCACGCCACTCCACTGAAGGATTTCCAGTCCTCCATAAACCCAGCAGCTGTCATACAGCCGCTATTTTGAATGATTTCACGCTCTTCTCGTTCCTTCCTAACATGCAGACACAGGGAGAGAAGCCTTTAGTTGAGTGGATTACATCTATGGCATTCATACAGGGGTTGTGAAGGTGGATTCTCACAGTTGTGTGATGAGCTTGGTGTCATATTGGGAGCATGTGAATGCATTATTTATTAATGAATTTATTCTCTCTTGAGAAGAGGAGATTAAGGGGGGATATGATTAACATGTATAAATACATCAGTGGTTCATATAGTGAACTCGGTATAGAGCTATTCACCCTGAGGTCATCACAGAGGGCAAGGGGGCACTCTTTATGTCTGGAGAAAAAGAAATTTAATCTCCAAACACAGAAAGGTTTCTTCACAGTGAGAGCTGTGAAAATGTGGAATAGACTCCCTCAAGAGTTGGTTCTGGCCAGCTCAGTGGATTGCTTCAAAAAAGGCCTGGATTATTTCTTGGATACATAGAATATAACTGGATACTAACATTTATAGATAAAGTTGATCCAGGGAATATCCGATTGCCTCTTAGGGGATCATGAAGGAATTATTTCCCTGCAGGAGCAAATTGGATCATGCTTTGCTGGGTTTTTTTGCCTTCCTCTGGATCAAATGTGGGTGTAGGATTATAACTTCTAAGGGCATGCAATATATTGGCCTTTTTTTTTTTTTTTGCTTAGATTGTTTTGTTTAGATTGTCTTTGTTTTGGCAATTCCAGGGATGGCTACAAAGACCCTGATATAGTGATGCTGCAACACTAGTTCAAAGCTTTTTTGGCTGGTCACATCTGAACATGAGAGTGGGAAATAATGGTGATCTGGTTGATAGAGAATGTGATTTTTGTGATTGTGATTAAACCGTGGCTAAACATCCAACGGGGATCCATGGAAAATGAAGATCCTGATTGAAGTTTAATATCTTCATTCAAATTTCAGGCAGCAGTAAAAATAACCCTTGCAGTTGCTGTTATTTATTATATATATTAGATGGAGAAAAATATCACCTCATAGTAGGCCCAGAAGCCAGCCTCTCGAGTGTATTGGCCAGCTGATCCTGCTCCAGATACAGGTATCCCTACATCACATAGACTAGGATTAGGGTTCCTGAATGTTCTGCCATATGTTGGGAATCCCATTATGAGTTTTTCGGCTGGAACTCCATTTTGTTTCCAGTAATTCATTGCAAAATTCTAGTAATGAACAGACAAATGATGGAAACATCACATACAGAACAAAAGAATTATGTGTGCTTTAGTAAACAGAAGAGCAAATACATAGGTCATGCGGTGCTTTATGAGCACTCTTTACAGTACAGAGTTCATTACATGTTGTTATAGGTAGGTCAAGAATCCTAATAGCCTATATGAAATGATGGTATAGGAGTATCAGCTATCAGTCAGCTTGCTAAAAGCAATGCACTCTCTGTGCAGCTGATATGTTATCTGAGCAATTGTTAAAGTGGTAGTAAAGCCACCTGTTTGATTTATACCTACAGGTAAGCCTATCATAAGGCTTACCTGTAAGTACAGTAAATATCTCCTATACGTGCACCGTTTAGGAGATATTTACTTTAGTAGCAGCCGGTGACATCATTGGCACATGCGCACTGTGCTCTGAATGCACTGTGTTGTCCATTCAGAGCTCTGTGCTGCAGACGTGATGTCATTGAGGCTCAGCCATTTAAATGTCTGGAGCTCGCGAACCCAGAAAGAAAACCGAGTGAAGATGGAAGCCCTGGCAGCACTGACAACGCACCGCTGGAGAATTTTGATTTAAGCTACGTCTATCATAATGTTCTAGTATTCAATGCATACTAGCTCATTATGACATTATCCTGTTGGAGCCCAATTTTTTTTCATTTGCGTTTTACTACCACCATGATTGCAAACTGACTGTTCTTGCAGATAGCCAATCTCTAAATCACTGCAAAAGCAGAACTCCAGGCACAGGGAATTTTGTCATTTCTAGTGTGTAAACAAATGTTGAGGTGTATGCCATTTATTTATTACAGGCATTTATATAGCATCAACAAAGTATGTCGCGCTTTAAATACGTTATTACATTCATCTCAGTGCTTGCTTAAAATCTGAGGTCCTTATTACAAATACTAGGGTCAATTATCCTACCAACGTGTCTTTGGAGTGTGGGAGAAAACCAGAGTACCCAGAGGAAACCTATGCAATCATAGAAAGAACATGCAAACTCCCTGCAAATAGTGTCCTGCCAGGATTTGAACTGAGGACCCTGCAGGGCAGACGTGTTTACCACATGGTTACACTATAAGTTTATTTATACTATACAGATCCTGCTGGAAAATGAGAGCTGTGGGTCTCATGAGCAAAAGCACTAGTGTTGTTCATCCACCAACCTCTCATATACAATTGTCATTGTATCAAGCTAATCTTTTTTTCTCTTTGCAGATGGGCTAATATGGGTTTTAAAACAAGACATCATGGATGTCTGTAGCGGTAAGTACTGAGGAGCAACTCAACTTCAAAGCTATCCCAGTAGCCCAGCTCAACCTATTCCTCTTTCAATAGCACCTTCTGTAACGTTATATTAGATATTAGAAGTCTGGAGGTCTGTTGATTCACTGCTGGGAGAAAAAATGAGAGTTGAGCTGGCTTACACAAGAATTTATACTTTTGCTGTTAATTGTGAGGGTTACAGAGTGCCTGTAGCAAGAGGGGTAAGAGATGACTTGTTATGTGTTGATACTTGAATGCTCATGGCCTGGCCAAAGTTCCTTTTAAAGAATGACGTTGTATTACATAAAACTTTTCTTACAATATTAAAGTATATTAAATCTCCCTTGTCCGTGGATCCTTGACACAGGGGGCTGTTGTGTCCAGAGATAGTGTCCCACCCACCATGGAAATCATACGTCATCACGCTGATGAAATCCAGGAGTCTGTGAACAAACATGACACAAGAGGTGACTTCTGGCTGGATGGAGATAGCATTGATAAAATTTGTTATCACCCATAATACTCAACAAAAGCAATGTGAACATTCTTTTCCACAAATTCATACAGACCTCAAAATACTCTTACACTAATATTTACACTATATCTATTTTAGGATCCAAATCCAGAGATTGGTGGGTCAAATTAGGCTCCCTGCTTCCACTGATGTTGGTAACAGCAGCTTTGCACAACAACAAGCCTTAGCACTAGTTGCAATATACATTTCCTCCATGCTTGAGTCCAAGTTGTACCATTTCTCTTCACATAATCCCACATAGACTCAATGATGTTGAGATAAGGGCTCTGTGGGGGCCAAGCTATCACTTCCAGGAATCCTTATTGTTCTTTATGCTGAAGATAGTTCTTAATGACATCCTAATGAAAGATCCATCATGTCATACCATCAGGGAGGCGTGTGATTGGCCCCAAATTTATTCGGCAGGAGGACAATGACCCCAGACATACATTCATTGTCATTAAGAACTATCTTCAGTGTAAAGCAGAACAAGGAGTCCTGGAAGTGATGGTATGGCCGCCCTGATCTCAACATGATCGAGTTTGTCTGGGATTACATGAAGAGACAGAAGGATTTGAGGCAGCCTACATCCACAGAAGATCTGTGATTAGTTCTCCAAGATAATCATAAAAGAGGAGAAAGGAAAGTGCCACAGGTATGGCTAAAAATATAGAATCTGTTACGGATCCGCCAGGTGGCACCTCTGGCAGCCCACTAGGCGGGATCACCCGGAGCGTGGGGTCTAAGTCCCGGTCTGCGTTTTCACCAGGGCCCCTGATGGTGGGGATGGACTTGGAGCAGAACCAGGACCAGGTCACGACCTCCGAGCAATACCACCCGTGGCAGAGGGAGCCTCCGTGGATAGAAGTAGGACAGAGTAGAGTCAGATGTGAGGAGGCCGGCAGGACCTGGCAGGATAACCCGGCGGTTGTCACCGTGGGAAATGGCGTGGTACCGAGACAGTAGGCAGAGAGTGGTCAGGTCGCACGCTGGGTCAGTTACCGGGGTCAGTCCGCAGAATGGTCAAACAAGCCGGGGGTCGGGACAGGAGAAGGCAGCGTAGTCAGGGACAATCCGGGTCTATCACAGGGGAAGGCAGCGTAGTCAGATAATCCGGGTCAGGGCAGGAGCAGGCAGAACGTCAAACAATCCGGGTCACAATCACAGGAAACACAGGTATCAGATCAGACCTTGCGGCGATTTGTGAAAGTGCAGGGCATCTTTAAATATCGCGCCCTGCACTGCCATTGGCCGCCCAGGACGCGCCCCCGGGCTGTCATTGGTCGCCCGAGGCGCGCCTGCGGCTCCTACTGCGCATGCGCGGCCTCCTGTCAGCCGCGGCCCGCCGGGATCTGGTGCCTGTGTCCCGGCGTGAGCCGCCGCTATTGCGCATGCGCCGGGGACGGAGCCGCGGCGGACCCTGACAGAATCTTTATTGATAACTGGTGAAAAAATAGCCAACAATATACCAACAGCTGATCAGGCTTTAGTCATGGCATGACCTGTCCCAGTTCTCCAAGATGTTTGGAACAACCTATCTGCTGAGTTCCTTCAAAGACTGTGTGCAAGTGTACCTATAAGAATTGATACTATTTTCAAGGTAAAGGGTGGTCACACCAAATATTGATTTGATTCGGATTTCTCTTCAGTTCATTTACTTTTTTACTCATTCTATTAAGTCATAAAAATAAACTATTAAACACATCTATTTCTGAAAGCTTTCCTAATTTACAGCATTTGTCACACCTGCCTGAAACTTTTGCACAGTACTGTATATACTGCACATAGCTTATTAAAGAAAAGAGATCTTACCTATCTATTTCTATCTCAGCACAATTACAGTTATTTCGCTTACTTTCCAATATTTGCAATCTCATATCCAGCATCAATGGTTCCTTTTCCTGCAGACACAGCTGCTGTGATCAAGAGTCGTGGAACATTTTTGGATGCTGCTTCTGCATTAAATGCCGCAAGCATTTCCTGACAAAGACAAAAACAATCATTGTGCAAATCAAAAAATGTATATGGACCCATGATACATACATCATATTTATAAATCTGTCAAACAGTAGGTAATGCACAAAGAAAACAGCATTGCACTTCTTTAAATGGTGCAATGTGTGGGGTGATAAATATTCTTGCCATTCTACATGAAGCAACAAAGGTTAGTGTCATTTTGACATATTTGCGATTAGCTCTAGTAACACAAAACAGGGGTTTCTATTGTCACTGCAACCAGGCCTGTGCTCTTAAGGAGTCAAATAAGACCTCTAATATACACATATATTACGTTCATTCTGCTGTTATAATTTTTAAAATGTTCTTTGCCTAGTTGCAGTTTAAGCAGAATAATTAGAGCATGGACTAAAATCCTATTTTGGCCTGAAGTTCTGTGTGGCAGCACCCTTACTTAAAGTGATATCAAACCCTCAGTTGTTTAAGCACTTTCAGCAACCGATGTAATCCCTTACAGAGTATGCAGCTTCTTTATCTTTTAACCACTTGGCTACTAGATACTTTTACCCCCCGCCCCTTCCTGCCCAATTTTCAGCTTTCAGTGCTGTCACACTTAAAATAACAATAACATTTAGCAAACATGTGCGTTGATGAGACTGCACTGATAGGCGGCACTGATAGGCAGAACTAATGAGGCGGCACTGGTGGGCATTGATGATGAGGAGGCACTGATGAGGCTGCACTGATATGCGGAACTGTTAGGCTGCAATGATGGGCACTAATAGGTGGCACTGACTGGCACAGATTGGGACTGCTGGGCACTGAGGGGCAACACTGTTGGGCACTAATGGGCAGCACTGTTTGGCACTGATGGGCCCTTTTGGGGCTGCACTGATAATCAGGGCACTGAAAATCAGTGCAGATTATCAGTGCAGATGTCTCCTTTGACAGTTGCTGGTTATCAGCAGTACTTTCCTCACGTTGCCAATAACTGACAAGTTTTACATGGTGATCAGCTGATCACGTGGTAAAAGGCTGCTGTGATTGTCCCTGTACCGTGTTATGTGATCAGCTGTGTCCAAAGATCACAAAGAGTGCCGGGTGCGCACCGCTGGGTGTGCGTTCTGGGAGGACGTCATATGACACCCTCCCAGAACTGGACGGCCATGCTGTAGCCATCATTGGGTTATAGCGCGGTCAAGAAGTGGTTAATCCTTGCCTATGTTCCAATTTAACTTGGTGATATGACCACTGCCCTAGGTTTCCTGTTTCAAGCTTTCTCTTACCGCATTCTATGGAGCCACCCTGGCCTGCAGGGACTAGAGTGTGCGTGCGTCCCTACACTGTGTGTATCAATAGAAACACACAGCCCTATAGACTAGGATGACAAAGCACTATCTTGCTCATCCTTCCTCCTCCAATCTCTCTCTTTTTTTAAGCTAACTCACTGAGTGGAGACAGCACTGTCCACTGTTAACTCTTTCCTGTGAAGGCCAGAATTCCAGGTACTAAGACAGCAGGAGCTAGCAGCATTGAAAATTCTAAACTGCCAGTGCTAGGAGAAGAATTTTGACAAATCATTTACTGGGGAATATTTAATGTATTGTGCTCAGTGTGTTAACCAAAAAAAGCTGAGGGTTTATTACTACTTTTATTATTAGTGATGAAAGCATAGAAAAACAAATGCTGATTACTCTGGCTCACCCACACACAGAGGTGCTTTATCTAGTAAGGATCAATGCCCCACTTAGTCATCAACATCATTTTTTAATGATCATAGCAACTGTACTAATTATATAAAACCTTACAAGGTCAGTAGCTTTTTTTATTTTCTCACCTCTATCAGAATAGTAAATCTATGCTTGTCCTCAGGTGGACTGCCTCGGGATCCTGGGTACTCAAAGTCAAGGTCAATGCCGTCGAAGTTATATTGTCGGAGATGTGCGATCACAGAATCAATGAAAATTTTACGGTTACCAGCAGAAGCAACCATATCTGTGAACCTAAAGATATGAACACACCCAAAATGAGAAAAATGGTCTATAGAACATGAACTGTATGTGTGTGAGTGAGCTGATTTCATTATTAATGTGTGCTATGTGCTACATAAGTAATCTGGTTGAAAAAAGTCCATCCAGTTTGACCCACAGGAAAAAAAAAAATCACACATACACAAATCAAAAGCTTCCTATATTCCAACAGTTGATCCAGATGGAGGCATAAAAAATTGTACTGTAACTTTTAATTCATTAATGGACTTACTTCTGTGTCCCAAAGTTCCAGCCACCAACTGCCAGTAATGTTACCAACTTTGGATTCCTGGAACAAAGCACAGGGCTGTGAATAAATATTAATTTCAGACAATAGGTAGCAATAGCTGTCACAGATTAAATTTAATGTAATAAAACCAAAGCTAGGAATCTTTGAAAAAATTGGCAGATTCTCCACATCAGCCAATCAGATTGTACATTTAATTTCTCAGTGAATGAAAGATGATACTTGATGGGAAGTTATATAATTGCTGCAACCTCCAGGTTTAATTGCTAGGTATTTTTATGTTTGTTAGTAAAGTGTGAAAACAAAAAGAAAAACAGTAATGAAGTTTTTGGGGTTGGTTATCAACCAACCACATATAAAGCTGTTTTTAGGAACACAAATACTAATACAAAATGAAAAATGCAGGAAAAGGAAATGGGGTCCTTATAACAGGTGAATTCAGCTATCCTGAGTTCAGCTGAGACAATGAAGCCAATGATTCTTATAAAACACATCAATTTTTACTAATATTACAAAGCAATCACTTTACTCATGTGCTGGCTGAGCCAATTGGAGAAGACTTGCTGCTAAATTTGGTCATTTCCAATTCAGTAGACGAAACACCATTTTAAATGTGCAGGTCTAGAAACATTTGGCAAACATTGACCAAATTTAGTAGCATTTGTTTATGTATATCTTAAATGCTGAATAAAGGGCTGCAAAAACAGTGAACTTTAGGATGTTAAAGTTATACGATGACAAAAAAAACTAAAAAAGGACTTACTATGAATAAAAGGAAATCAGCATGGATGAATAAGAACATTTTTGATTGGTAAGGTATAAACATCAATGCAAATTAAAATAAAAAAAAGTATAAACTGAAGTTCAATATTTCTAACTGCAAAATAATATTAGGGAAAAATAATTTTTTGATAGCGAACAGTACTGGGGAATGGTGCTGGTTAGACTACTGAAAACATTTTTTGGGGGTGCCTATTTCAGATGACTACAAAAATGAGAGAATTGTGTGGCCAGGAAGTAGAGAACAGAATTTTGTGGTGCATCAACAGAGGGATCATCAGCAGGAGAGAGAAAGTCTTCACTGGAGGCCTCAATTACAAAAATATATCAGGAGAGACAGAAGGAACTTAATATGCACAGACTTAGGGAAAGGGGTACATGACTGAAATGTCTGAATCTATTAAGGATGTTAAATTTCAGGAAAGGCAATATTTTCAGTATGAAGCCAAGTTCAAGAACACACAGCCACAGCCTCAAACTAGAAGAAGAAAACTTCAAAACTATTTTACCAACAGAATAGTTGATGATGGAAACAGACTTCCAGCAGAGGTAATAAGTAATTCTGCAGTAAGTAAATTTAATTCTGCTTGGGACAAACAAAGATCTATACGCAGACGAAAAGTAAAAAAAAAGCAATAAAAAAATTTAAAAGGGGCAAGTGTGATGGATCACTTAGTCTTTATCTGTTTTTGCTGCTCTATGTTTAAAATCTTGAAAATGATGAAAATATACATGAAATATAACAAAAACAAGGAAAACAGAAAAAACTCATAATTTATGTTTCTTCTAAAGGATAAATTAACAAAATATAGTTGTAGACGACAAAGCAAATATCTTAAAATGCATATATTTCATCTCTCTTCCCAATGGTGTTGACAGATATTATGGCAGAAGTATATACCCAATGTTCCCCATTTAACATTACATATGCACAAATCCAATATGAAAATATTTGTGATACTGACTGTTTCTTAAGGTCATTAAACTGCTTGTACAGCACATCATCATTCCACTCGTATGGCGCAATCTTGTGCTCACTCATGGTGGCAAAGGCATATATGAGATGAGTGCAGAGCTGCGGGTCAATATTCCCTGGCACATACTTTGCAGGCTCGGGTCGGTATTGTGACCAGTTTGTAAAGTAACAAACTAGCTTGTAGGTAGAACCTAGAGGGAGCAGATTATTAGAGGTAGATGACAAATGGAATTAAATGTAGATCTCAACTCAATATAGTTACATAGCTAGTCTGGTTGAAAAAAGACACAAGTCCATCTAGTTCAAACAATTTAAAACACACACACACGTAACAAACCTCCATAAAATCCTATATCCACAGCTGATCAAGAGAAAGGCAAATAAACCCAAAGAAGTATTATCAAATTTTGTCCAGCAGGGGAAAAAAATCCTTCCTGATTCCCCAGGAGGATATTTCCAGAATCACGTACCCCTGGTGTTATTATCTATAAATATTGGTATCCACTTAGGAAATTATCCATTGGTATCCATTTAGGAAAGAAACCAGGCCTTTTTTAAAACAATCTACAGGGCTGTCCAGAACTAGTTTTTGAGGGTGTCTACATCATATTTTCTCTGTGAAGAAGCCTTTCCGTATGTAGAGGTTAATCTCTTTTCCTCCAGACATAAAGATTGCCTCCTTGTCCTTTGTGATGATCCTAAAGTAAATAGCTCTACACTAAGTCCACTATACTGACCACTTACGTATTTATACATGTTGATCACACCCCCTCAATCAACTCTTCTCAAGAGAAAATAAATTCAGTTCAGCTAGTCTTTCCTCATAGCTGAGCTCCTCCATGCCTGTTTTGGTTGCCATTCTCTGCACTTTTTCCAGTTCCAGATATCTTTTTTTAAGAACTGGTGCCCAAAACTGAACTCCATACTGTATATGAGGTCTTACTAATAATTTGTATAGGGGCACAATGGTCTCTCTGTTTCTCTCTGGAGTACATACATCTTATAATAGGAGAAACTATTTTGTTAGGTTTAGAAAAAAGCAGCTTGGCATTTCATGCTATTATTAAGATTATGATCTACTAGGACTTCCAGATCCTTTTCCACCATTGATTCCCCCAGTTGTACTCCCCCTAGTATGTATGATGCTTGCATATTCTTAGTCCCCAAGTGCATAACCTTACATTTAATAACATTAAACCTCATTTGCCATATAGTTGCCCAATGAAACAGCGCATCGAGGTTGGCATGAAAGTTGGAGGCATCCTGTATGAGTGCTATTCCATTACATACCTTGGTGTCATCTGAAAAGACTGAAATGGTACTTTTAATCACAAACACTATATCATTTATATATATTTTATAAAGTAAGGGTCCCAGCACTGAACCTTGGGGTACACCACTAACAACCCTAGATCATTCAGAGTATGGATCATTAATCACTATTCTCTAAATACGATCTTTCAGCCAGTTTTCTATCCATTTACAAACTGAATTTTCCAAGCCTGTAGATTTGAATTTACACATTAGCTGTTTGTGTCATTATCTTTTGCACAAGTATATTATATCCACAGCCACTCCTTTGTCTAAGTTTTTGCTTACTTCTTCATAAAACGAAATCAGATTTGTTTGAGAATACTGTCTATTGCTTCAAATATTTTTTTCTACCAAAAACTCTCCAGTATCTTTCCAACTGTAGAAGTTAAACTAGCCAGTCTGTAGTTACTTTGCAAAGACCTTGATCCCTTTTTAAATATAGGCACCACTTTGGCCTCATGCCAATGTAGTGTCTATAATGCCAGTCATTAAAGATTATTACTAAAAGTTTGAAATGGCTGTGAAATAACAGAGCTCAACTCTTTTTAGGACATGTGGGTGTATACTATCTGGTCCAGGTGCTTTAATCATCTTTATTCTGTCTAAATGTTTCTGGACCATATCAATTTTGAGCCATAGTTGTTCATTTGGGGCTATGTCAATACTATGCTCATTATGGACATGACCTCCTCCATGCTCCTTTGTATACACAGAGCTGAAGAAGGTATTTAATACATTTGCCTTCTCTTAGTCCCCAGTCACACACTCTAAATTATCTTGTGAAGGGCCTACATGCTCAGACCTGACCATTTTACTGTTTAAAATGTACAGAATGTTTGGGTGTTTGTCCTACTCTTTTTCACAACCTGTCATTTGTTTTCAATTTTAGGCCCTTGATTTCCTTTTTACATATTCTGTTAAATTCTTTGTAACTTTTTTTTAAACAGATTTTTTTTTAACTTTTAAGTGTTCCTTAATTTTTTTAGTCTTTTCTTATTATTTTATTTAAATTTTGGCCACGAGCCACGTAAGCTTTTTAAGTTAGCCTTTTAAAGTTATTGTGTGTGTTTGCATACAGCCAATCTTAAGAATTCCCATGACAATAATCCCTCCTAAATCTGGTAGAGCAGCCCTCCCTATCTTTCCAGTACACGCTTACAGCTAAAATTAAATGAAATCATCTTGTAGTCACTGCTATCCAGATGTTATTTTATGTGAATATTAGTAATAAGCTCTGCATGGTTTGAGATTACCAGGTCATCATTTCTAGTTGAGAATTCTATCAACTGTACCATTAAACTGCCATTTAATTGTTCCAGCAGTGCCTTTACTCCAGTCAATTTCAGGGTAATTATTATTATCACTGTCCCAGCCCTTGCAACCCTTTTGATCTGTGCAACGAGCTGTGTCTCCACCTCCTCATTAACACTGGGTGGCCTATAGCAGTGGTCGGCAAGCCGCGGCTCGCGAGCCACATGCGGCTCTTTACACGCTTTAATGCGGCTCTTGTGTGCCGGGCGCCCGCTCCCCTCCCTCCTCTCGGGCGGCAGGGACTCTGCAGCGTGATCCAAAAAAAAAACAGCCAGGGCAGCGTGCTCAAATGCAATGATTGGCCAGTCTCGCTGCCACTCACATCCTGATAGTCAGTGATTGGCTGTCAGGATGTGTGTAGGCGGGGCAGCGTGACGAACGTGAGAGGAGCTAGGCTCCTCTCACAGTCCGCCCTGAAGACCGTAACGGCGCGGGAACACGGCGAGAGGAACGTGCGGAGAAAAGGTAAGTGAATTGACACAGGGGGGGACTTGGCTTACTACTTGCTACTTACTTACTACTACTATATGAGGGATGAATTAATATAGGGGATGAATTACTATAGGGGGGATGAATTACTATATGGGGGATGAATTACTATATGGGGGATGAATTACTATGGGGGATTAATTACTATAGGGGGATGAATTACTA